AACGGCCTCGTGTACTGGCATGGCAGATCTGGTCAGCTAGAACCACGTATCTGCGTTCCCTCCACCGGACAGCTCCGCGTCCAGGCTGTAGCAGAGTTCCATTACCAGGCAGCTGTCGGTCATATGGGTTTCCACAAGACGTTGGCTCGTGTTTGCCGCCTATACGTCTGGCCGAAGTCCAAGGAATTTGTCAAAGCCTACATCCAGGAGTGTCCTACCTGTCAGGAGGTGAATAGTGTGAACCACCTTCCATATGGGTTACTTCAGCCCCTACCCATACCTGAAGGTCGTTGGCAGTCTATCTCGATGGATTTCATTGGTCTTCTCCGCCCACCCACTCAGCGCGGTCATGATGCTATCTTGGTCGTCTTCGATCGCTTCACGAAGCGTGCACGTTTTGTTCCGTTCCGCTATCGCATTAGCGCTCGTGAGGTCGCCGACATCGTCTTCGACCGAGTCGTGAGAGATCACGGCTTACCTCAGAGCATCATCTCCGACCGTGACCCGCGCTTTACCAGCACATTCTGGCGACGCCTACACGAGGTGTACGGATCCCAGCTCTGCTTCTCATCGTCTTACCACCCTCAGACGGATTGTCAGACTGAGGTCACCAACAAAACTCTCGGTAATATCCTCCGAAAGTTTGTTAGGGATGACCAACAGTGGGACTTACACTTAGCCCACGCGGAGATTGAGTACAACCACGCTGTTTCGCCATCCACGGGGATGTCGCCATTCTATTGCGACCTCGGCTACCACCCTCGCGTACCTACGGATTTCCTACGACCATCGCGGTTTCGCCCAGACACTCGTTGCCCTGCGCTTGACGACTGGATCGCCCACATGGCGGCGATTATGAAGCCCGCACACGAGAGTTTAGCCGACTCCCAGACTCGCATGGCCGCACGAGCGAACCGATCATGAATGGATCATCCATTCAAAATCGGTGACGATGTGCTCGTCGACGCACGCCACTTACAGCTCGAAGCAGATATGCTTCGCAAGTTCAGGCGTCGTTTCTTCGGTCCATGCCGCATCCTTCAGGCCGGCGGCTCTGATACTGCCGCTAGTCCGGTCAGCTTCCGTGTGAAGCTACCTGATTACCTTCGACAGGCTCGCGTACACGATGTTTACCACGTTTCCTTGCTGCGTCCTTATCGCAGACTGTCTGAGCGCTTCGCCGGACGCCCTTATGAGCGCCCTCCACCTATCATGGTGGACGGTCACGAGGAGTTCGTTGTTTCCGACATCGTATCACGCCGAGTTACAGACGATACCTCTCCACGCATCGAGTACCTTGTGCGTTGGAAGGGCTACCCTGATGAGGAGGCTACTTGGGAGCCCCTCGAACACTTGCAGCACGCCAGGATGTTGGTGCATGCATATGATCGTGCTCGTCGTGCTGGGACATCTGCTTCTACTCAGCCGACTGACCCTCTTCCTCCTCCTCCGGCTGAGGAGATCGCTGAGGATGAGCCCGCTCCCTCTGAGGCCGTTCCTCAGCCGCAGATGGTCGCCTCCGAGCGTCCACAGCGCACTCATCGTCGCCCTTCAC